CGCCGCGGCCGGGGTGCCGGGAGAGCCGGCCGGCACGGGGGTGCGGGTCCTGCTTCTTTCTGCCTCTCTCCCTCTCTCTCTCTATCTCTCCTTCTCTTTCTCATTTGAATAATGTCTAATTCGGGGAGGTTTATATTATTGAAATGGCCGCCTGGCTTTCCCCGCCTCTCATGTTTAGTAATTCAGACCTTTAATAACAGCCACTCAGAGCCCAACGCCGTGTTTATATTTTACATTCGCCCCATGTGCTTTTGTGGTTCAATATGATTCTTCTTTCTCGCTCTCTTGCTTTTTTTAAATTTTCTTGGCAACCCACAGGGCCCCGAGATCAAACCCAGGCTGTGTGAGGAGAGGAGGGGGGAGAGCTAGGCCCTGGTTCCTCTGGCAGGCGCCTAGGCCTCACTCTGCCGCTTGATTTATTTACTAATAACCAAAATGACCCCCCCATCCCCACTCCACCCCTGCCAGCAAAAACAAAACCCTCCTGGGGCTTGAGCAGCATCAGATCTGCTCATAGATTCTCAAACACTCATGTCTTTTAAATAAGAAGCTTATTTTTAATTTATAGCAACTCAGGACTGTAAAGCTGTTCCTTTCATATCTGCTCTTCAGAGGCTTGGGCATTTTTGGTCCCTTTGTCCTTGATTCTTTTCCTTAAAGGAGAGTTGCTTCTAATTTACGTTTCCTGGCACTGAGAGAGCTATAGAAGACACACTCAAAATCTAAACAGCTTTCCTCCTTCCTGTGGACACAAACAGAATTGAATACATTGAAGATAATCTTATTCTCCTTTTTGCTTAGTGTGGATGCAGTTTAACAGTGCTGTGTGTCAGATGCTTTTGTCACTGCTTGTATCTTTGACCATTCTGAGTTTTTTTTTTTTATTTAGATTTGGCTTCCATGACAGAAGATGCTACTAGGCAGTACAGGGTCTAGAAAGCAAGATAAGTTTTTTTTTTTTTTGTGTGTGTGTGTGTTTGTGTCATAAGTTCATCAAGTGAAAATTGAAATTAATCCTCTTAAATTG